GTCCCGAGGAATCCCGGAGCTGCTGCTGGAGAAGAGCGGAGAGTGATGAGGGTCAGGAGATCTTGAGCCTAAGGGTCGACAGTGATGGATGAACAGAGTCCTCCCCAGATGCTGGCCATGGACGGAAGAGAAGGGGAGAAGAAGAAGGAAGGAAGCTGTCTTCTGTGATCTCTGAGCTTACATAGATATATGGAATGGAATATCTCTGGCCAATTTTGCTGTCCCTCTAACTCAGCCTCCTACAGGAGGTCACAGATCTCCCCGTAGTGTCTGAGCCAGTAGAGTGAAGGTGCAACCTTGAAGCCTCAGTCGTTAGAAAAACATTCCAGTATCTTATCAGCCTAGCAGAACACACTGTTGCTAGTTAAAAGAAGGCTTACTGAAGGAAAAAAATCAGTAAAAGGAAAATTGGCTTCATCCTGGCTCAAACCAGGACAGTACTCATTGTCAATTCTTCCTCCAGGAAATTTGTGTGCCTGGAATTCCAAAAGGAGGGTTCTAATTGATAACTTTTGCTATATTCATCAGAGAAATGAGCATTAGGCAGTTTTAAACATTATAACTCACAGAAAAAATTACCCTTGTAAACTGCTGTCAGCTCTTAAACAGGTGTTGGGGGGGAATGACCATCTGAAGAGCAGTACAAAGAATGACTGCTTGCAGATGTACACCTTAGAAACCTATAGCCAAACAAGAAGCCTTGGTTGAAAGGCCACTGAAACTTCTGCTTTTTTCTGGAAGAAGCAGTGTTATCTTTAACTTGTTATCTAGAAAGTAACTTGGCTCCATCACTACTCCGTGCCTGAATAACAGGAAAACGCTTTAACTTGTTGGTCACGTGTGTGATTTCTACACTAATGAGTCTCTTCAATTCATTCTGCAGTTACACAATTCAGAGCCTCCTGGAAGGCTCCTCTATAGACTCCACATAGTTCTAGATAGCATTTATTTCAGCCTTGAGAGTAATGTTTCCTCTTTGATTTCCTCCAGGTGCAAAAACCACAAGGAGTACCCTTTCAATGCAGAATACTGAAGATGGCTTCATCCTGCTGTCCTGCAGGCCTCTGGGATCTAATGAGCTACTACTGTTGCCTAGAGCTGTCCTCTATGTAGCTTGCAGACTGGATCTCTCCAGCCAGCAAAGGCATAGTGTATGTGTTCAGTGACTTGGGTTTTTCTTCTTTGGTGGAAGGAAATAGTGAAACTGTTCTAAAGAACAAAATAAGGGCCATAATAATTCTACTCATTAGATTAGTGTGTCTGCACAGCTGAAGTAGCAAAGCAGAAAGCACAGAGAATGAACTAGCAACTAATTTTTTACCTTCTCTCTTGCATCAACACTAATTAAGGCTGCAGGGCAAAGGTATGTGAGCACAGAAGAAACATCCACCCTGAAATCACTAACTTACATAATCACTGCCTGAAGATAAGAGACAGCAGTTAACTTCCTTTTTAGAGCACAGCCTAAAGCTTTCTGGGAAAGAAGAATAAATGGGAGAAGTGTCCAGACCTACAGATGAATACAAGCTTATATTGGGCCTTATTTTAGTTGCATTCTCTTACAGGCTGCAACTGGACAGAGATTAGTGTTCAGTTTTCTTTGTATTCAAAATAAAAAATGTTCAGATTACTGCTGATTTTGAAGCTCTAGTCTAATGTGGAAAAAATTACAAAGTCACTTGCATCAACAGTGTTGGAAACTATAATCCATATTAGTTTGTTAATCGTGTCACGGGAGTATCAAGATCTTGTTTTGATCAAAAGTTTTTTAACTTGGTGTAATAACCTTTAGTTGGCAGAGCACTGCTGACAACAACAGCCAATTATGACAAGCCTTAGTGTGGAGTGTAGGTTAACACGCAACTGGAGACCAACATCTGAAACTGCTGGATGGTGGTATCCCTGTGGACTGATCTGGTTGGTAGCCTGTGCTGACAGCTGGCTGTAAAAACCCAGAGCAACAGAGTCTGTTAGGGGAAAGGTAGGACTGCGTTAAGCACGGAAGCAGAGGGTATGAGGTGGAACTGTTAGTTTTGAGCTGCTGCCCAGAGCCTGACACTGAGATGACAGGAACAGTGTCATGATCCCTTGTTCCCTCCAGGGTATGCTGTGCTGATCTGCTGGCATGGTAACTGGGACAGGTCTCTTTTACCTGTAACTGTGTATGATTAAAAATTACCCTGATAAAACCTATCCCTCATGGTGGAGGAGCCTTGCTGGGCAGTGCTAGGATAGCTAGAAGGTGTTGCAACAGCATGGCACTTCAGAAGCTCAAAAGTACCATATACCTTGGGCTGGTGGAGACATGGCAGCTGCAGTATAACTGCTCCACTCTAGTCTGTAACATGCATACAACAGTGAGGTGTAGGGTCTGACAAAAGCATCTGAGATTTGAGTTGTATCTTGAGCAACTGCTGGTCCAGAAACTTCCTGGAGACAAGATGATTAACAAAAAAATGCTTTTGTAAAGGTTATTAGGACCCAAAGACTTACTACTTGTGTCATACTCACTTATATTGTGATTTAGTATGCCAGAAGTGAATACGCTTCCACAAGCTTGAGCTTCTTGTGTTATACATTGTTGTTTCTGAGTGTGCATATTAAAAATGACAGAAAATCTGAGAGGTGGAATGGCACAGGAGCATCAAGATTTTGCCTTGATCAGGAGTGGAATCACTGAATATAATGAACCACAGTTGGCCAGCCCATGCAAACAAGAACTGTCTGAGGAGTCTTGGTACATATGAGCTATGGATATGGAAGTGACAGAACAATACCTGGAAGGGCTGGAAAGCTGTATGGTGGTAGTAGCATGGACTGATTTGTCTGCCAGCCTGTGTTGACACTCAGCTTGATAAACTCTCAGGAAAACAGACTACAGGGAAGCACCATGCAGATATCCAAAATTATGAGGACACACAGTATTAGGAAGTGTACTGGTAGGTGTTAGTGCTGAGCCACTGCCCAGAGCCTGACACTGAGACAAGTCAGAGTTGAGTGTTGTATGTCCTCTAGGTGAGACTGTGCTGAGTCACTGGAGTAATAGGTGAGGGACAAACAATATTCTACCTTGTGATTACTTCCAGGTATTGTTCTGTAACTTTCACAGCTGTAGCTCGTGTGTGGAGACACCTTCTGTGTGTATATATATAATGCTGTCCCCTACAAGTTATTCCTCTATTGGTCCACTTGCAATGTGACACTGCTAAGCTCAATTCCCTGGTGCTCCCTTATCCTGTGACAAATACAAAAAGAACTTGGCCTTTTTACGTGATTAAAAATAAAAGCTTTTGTTTGTGTGAACAAAGCTTGTGCTTTTGACTTGTGTGTTACGGTTATGAGAGAGATGGGACACATTGATCTCGGGCATGTTACAGCTTTAGGTGGTGTTAGTACTTTTTCTCACTCATTCCAACAGGAAATAAACAATCTACAAATATCCATCTCAGTACACTGATATATGGAGATTACATAAGATATTTTAATATATACATATATAGGTTCCTAGAATATACCTAATTGTACATATCAAGTCATCAAAGTATTTCCAACCAAAACTTCCAAAAGAATGCAACATGCAACCTCAAGATAAGGAAAAAAAATAAAAGGAACCTGAATTTACAAGGGGCAGTGCTTGCTCCTTCGGTTTTTTTGGTGTGTTTATGTGGTGTTTTGGGTGTTTTTTTAAACACATTTTTTATTTTAAACACACTGCACTGGTCATACTTGTCACACGCAGAAATCTCTCAGGGGAAGTTAATGTCACCTAACTTTAAGTGTCCATAGTGAAGGTGCAAGCACCCAATTCAGGGCCAACCTCTAAGCTCTAGTCATAGAGCCAAGAGATGTTTGGGTAAAACAAGGCAGCAGCTTTCAGCATGATTCATTACTCCCAGGGCTAGGGCTGCCCTTGGCTCTGGCCCATCTGCTCTATACGATCTCCAGACCTAAGGCACTCTCTCCCCCCTCTTCTGTAAACAGAGGTGGTCAGCTTTAGTCACCTGCACTTAATGGTCGTGATCCCTCCCTGGGACAATTCCCATCAATAAAACCATGTGGTGCTGCTTTTCCCCACAGACACCAGAGGGCAGCCAGCTCTCAGATGAAACTTGCAGGCTAAGAGCAAAGAAGGCAGCCCTTCCACGGGTAAAGGGTGTTCCAACTGGGACCTGCCCGCTTAGGTCATTTTGGGCCTTGTTCTTCTCAGACACCAAACACTGCTCATCTCTTGAAGCTATGATTTTTGGTGAATTAGAATTACTACATGCAAATGCAACACAGCAAACCTGAAATGTGCTACAAGCACCTGTAGTGGAAAACCTTGTGCACGGATCAAATCAGACCCTTCCTCACTGTCCTGGTTTGAGCCAGGATGAAGCCAATTTTTCTTTTTACTGACACACTTCCTCATCTCATGCACGGAACCCTTGGGCACTTTATCAAGCACACAGGCTGCAATATCTCCCAGGCTATCCCAGACTGGCATCCAGTGACACATGCAGTACTTTTTCCCCAGCAGCCCTACCATCTGACAACCCCAGTGTCACAGCTCAGACCAGGACACCCAGCCATGTCTTCAGGACAGAGAAACAAATGACAGCTCCCACGTCTCGGCATAGTCTGGGGAAAAAGTCACACCAACAGGCACAAACAGCAAAGCAAAATGCAAACCTTCTGCACCAAATGCTCTGTTAAAAGACAGACACCTCTCATTCAGTAAATCACTGGAGAAAAAACAAGCACCCACCTTCACAGGAGAACATGACTTTGCAGAGGAAGCAACACGAAAACCTCAAAAGAAAATAAGAGGAAGGACAAATCACATTTCTCAGCCGTGCTCTCCACCAAGCCTCATTATCTGTTATCACACATCCTACCCAGCTCCTGGCCACAGGAAGGCAAGGATTTCAAACCTCTCCCAAAAAAGACACTCAGAAGAATTAAGAACAAACACTGCAGAGTTTTCTGCTGTTTCTTGTAGGAGACTCCCTTTTACTTGCCAAACAGCGGCTCTGCAAGCTTTCACAGCCTCAGAGCACAACTCTCAGGCACGAACGGCACCCGTTCACCCTGGTGCTGTGCCACTACGAGATCTGATTCTCCGAGGACCCGGGGCCAGCCAGCCCTGACCCACCCCAGCCGGGG